ACTTTTCCAAGTACGTTATACCCTGTGTCTATGCCACTATATTATGTCATATAGTATGTCAAGGACTTTGGCAGATCTTGTTACAGACTTGTGCTAGAACTCTGTGTTCAAGCAAACAAAAAAAAACAAAAAAAAAAACAAAGGCTGTTCTGCCAAAAATCCCATGCTATTTGTTTTTGGCCTCCTTATGTAATCTTCCATTATAGCACATTACCAGTAAACCTAGTCTGAAGCATCTGGCTTTCTTTTGTCTGCTCAAATCAAATATTCTCTCCCACTCCTGTCCACATTCTCCCAAGTCTGTGTAAAGTGATGCTAAATGCTTTAGCGATTTTTTGTATTTCCTCATTAAGCACTACGCAGACTAAGATGCACAGGATCATGGCAGTTTAGATGAAGTGGAGATGACAAACTTACACATCCTAATAATCTGTAATCAACTGAAATGAAAAGCCCTTATATTAGGGTGACCATACGTGCCATTTTCCCAGGACGTGTCCTGGCCAGGATTTCTATATTGTCTAAAATATCTAGGTTTTGGTTTTGTTTGCGTGTGCAGACCGATTGGTGTATGATATCAAAATACCTCGAGAGCATTTTGAAAGCATAAGGAACCATCTGTATGGTATTTTGATGTCATACACCGATCGGTCTGCACACGCAAACAAAGCCAAAACCTAGATATTTTAGGCAATATAGAAATCCTGGTTTGGCACGTATGGTCACCCAGTCAAACATAATGTTCGTGAATACTCGTCAAACCGGACAATTCGACATCATTTTGTGTGTAATTCTCCGTTCATGCGACGCGAGAGAGTACTTGTGTGCTGTGAGACGTGCTTTCTGTGTGTGTATGCTTCAGTGTATGCGCTCAGAAAACCGGTGTCCTGACATTTTATCCTACACGTCAGATTGTCCTACCAGGGTTTACTGCGCATGCGCACATCAATATTGCATCCTTTTTCTCACGCTGAACAACAATATTTAATGTATCTGCATTACTGTAAGGGTAGGTTTAGGGTTGGGGTAGGTGTAGACTTTAATAAAACACAATATAATAGGTAGAAAAAAATATTTATTGTTGGTTTCCTGTAGCTGTATCCCTTCTAGCCACAACCGCGAATATAACACATAATTTCTGTATTTGCATTACTGTAAGGGTAGGTTTAGGGTTGGGGTAGGTGTAGACATTAATAAACCATAATTTTACAGGTAGCATTTTTCGTTGTCGAATTGTACTACCCACTGTTTAATGGGAGGTAGCAAAATCTGACAGGGTACCACAAATCAACAGAACACCGGACCGAATTGAGTTCTCTCTTGCATCGTCAGACTTATCTATATGTCTGCTCTTCTCTTACTCCCACATATTGACATTTTTTAACGTTTTATGTGACGTGCAGCAAGGTTTATACGTACGCATCTAACCTCCTAACTATGCAGCAGATTCGTTCTCAATAAATCTCTTCCCAAATCATCCCACCCTAACATTTTCGTGTCGTTTTTATTCGTTGACGAAAATGTCAATACATTTTTGTCATAGTTTTTGTCATTCAAAAAGAGTTTTAGTTCGTCATCGTCTCGTGGTTGTCGGTGAAAAAAATGTCGTTGATGAAAATTATGATGAAAATTATTCGTCAACAAAATTAACACTGCTATTAATACATTTATTATTATATTCACACATAGTGTTATATGTTATATTTTAAATTGGGATATGTAATAGTTTCTAATGTTTTAAAATAAGTCTCTTTTGCTCAGCAAGTCTGCATTTATTTGTACAATAAAAAATACAAAAACAGTAATATTGTGAAATATTGAAAACAGACAAAGTTTTGTATGTGAGCATATAGTAAAGTGTAATTGATTGCTGTGATCAAAGCTGAAATTTCAACATCATTACCCCAGTCTTCAGTGTCACATGATCCTTCAGAAATCATTCTAATATGCTGATTTGCTACTCAAAGTGTTAAGTTTTTGTTGATTTTTTCTTTGAAAAGCAAGACAAAAAAGCATATTTTGGCTATTTAATTTATGCAATGGTGAAAAAAAAATTTTTAAATACATGGGGGAAAAAAATGCGGAAAAACCGTGTTCGGTATCTGGCCTTCGGCCCAGTGTTTCAAGCAATTTGTTTGGCTTCGGCTTCGGCCAAGAATTTTCATTTCAGTGCATCCCTACTTGATATGATGAACACATTTAATGTATGCTTTTATTCCCATATAAACATTGATCAGTGCACATATATAGAGCTCATCAAATGCTTGACACTTGATTCATATGTATTATGTACACAATGTTGTATTAACTTTTTGAACTGTCTAGATTTGGTTGCATTGACTTTCCATGGAGAGAGAGAGAGCTCAGGTTTCATTAAAATGTCTTCATTTGTTTTTAGAAAATGAACAACCATCTTAGGCCAGGCATCCACTGTGTGTCGTTTTCTTTCAATTTTGAGCCGAATTCTGACTTGTGTGACTCTTTTTTGAGTCAGCCGAATTTCAGATTTGTCGTGCGTCTTTTTTTGACGTGCAGTGTACACGGGGTAACAAGAAGTGAGTAGCCTCTTCTGACCAGCAATCGGATGGTCAGATGAATTTCTGACATGCCAGAAATTTTGGTTTGATTAGACACAGACACATATCCCAAAGCCTTCCTTTAAAAAGCTGATCAGCTAATTTATTTTTCTAGTCTAATGCATTATATGATTATATGGGTACGCAGTTTTATTTTGGGGGTGTTTACCATGTTTTACATCACAGAGAATTATGTTTCCCAAGTGTGCATTTGCATTGCTAGTGTGCATGACTTTGGTCAGATTCTCACCTGGAAATTTCCAGCATAATCCTCCTCTTGGTCACCATTGTGCCCTTCCTTCAGAGCGATAAGAGTAAAGCCTCTGAAGTATGCAGGGTTGGTTGCATACAGGGATACTGGAAATAATCACAATAAAAATAATCAGTTGCATTATCTTTCTGATTGCTTTCACGGGTCAATCAAAATGAATAAAACACATACAATGATACCAGGCTTCTGTTATAGAATTGGTAATATTTCATAAGTTTTGTTTTGCCCATATACTCTTTAGCTACTGGGGATAAACTCATTTGGCTTGATGTCCGCAGTGGAGGGGCTGAAAGAGACAGCTACAAATGCTTGGAAGATAAGTATGGATAGCAAGATGCCTACATTTTGTTCGTGGAGTTGGGGAGGTGAAGGAAACAGATGAAACAGCTGATGCCGGAGCAAGGTGAGCACTGCTTATATGCTCCAGCAGTTCACTGAAAAATTATATGGGTTCACCTCTCCCAAAAATGCATTTAGGAACGTCACTTCTTTTCTAGTCCAGAAATTCTTACTTTGTTATGTTCAAATACCTCCAGTAAAATCGGCATGTAACCTATTTTAAATATCTTCACTAACAAATATTATTCAACATATAATGCACAAAGAAACTGATTATTGGTTAATACACAGTACAAATTAGAAAGTTAGAAATATTGTAAACCTTTCATTTGCATATTGAAAACAATTTGCAGCAGCCTATCATATAGGAGAAAACGGAAATAGATGTAAAATAGTTTTTGTTTGTTTGTTTATTAATTAATTCAGTCAGTCATGTCAGATAT